CAATACTGTGTGTGTCAGTACTATATAGAATTGTTCTCACTTGTAGTTAGTGGATCCAAATCCAAAAAGAATCTTTAGTTTGACCACCAAAAATAAATTCTATTTTTATTTTCTTTCCTAGAGCTGAAGAATAAGTTGCTTTGTGCCATAGACTAATAAGGGGAAGAAGCTATTGTTCTTTATATAAATTTTGAAATAATCACCATCTATTTTCAACTTCATCTCAGATCTCAGTAGTAGAGTCATCTGCTGTCTCTAATTCTTAAATCTTTCCTGGTTTCTCACAAATCTGTTTTCTTCATGTTGGCCTCCTGTTTGCAGGCCAGATACTCAGGTCTTCTAAGAATGATTCCACTCATCAATCAGCTTTCTAGTTTCAAAAATACTGGTGAGCAACTCTGATTTCTGTAATCGCCTCTCCCAATTTCTTTGTGCTAGGTTTAAGCCTTATGTTTTATTGTCATTTTAATTGGGCTTTCAGGAGACGACAGAGATAAATGTGTGTTTTCAATTTGCCATGTTTAATCAAAGTTCAGAGGTGGCATTCAAATCAGTGGGCCAAGCCTGGATTAGTCAATAAATAGTGTTGGGACAACTTGATAACGAACATGGATTTCTATATACCATTTCCCAAAATAAATATTTAAATGAAAAAGAAAAGAAAATACATATGTATATTTATGTAACCTTGTGAAAAGGAAGGTCTTCTTAGACATGATGCATAATACTGTATAAAACCATAAAAGAAACAATTAACAGATCTGACCAGTTAAAAGGGCAAAATTTCTGATTGAACAGAGCAACATAAGGTATTAAAAATATTTCAACATTAATATTTATATTAATATATTAAAAGTTAGCAATCTATAAATTATAAATTATAGATACAGGATCAATATTCTCACAGTTAAAAACATTTTTATGGCTAAGAGAGAAAAAAAGATGAAAATGTAATTTGAAAAAGGATAATTAAAAGGAAATACAAATGATACATAAAGATATTACAAACGTACAACTTTCAACCTTCTTATTTATTGATAAATTAGAACTAGACTAGAACCTTTGTAGTATTGTATGACAATCGTTTTCATTTAATGACAATATTCAATAACTAAGGGTGCAGTGCAGTGAGTGGCTATCCTCATACAAATATAAATGTGTTCTGCTTCCTGTAGGGCAGTTTAGCAATCTGTATATTAAAGACAATTTAGCAAGATTGTATATTAAAACTTAAATTCATAATATACCCTATAACATTGTAATTCAATTTCCAGGAATCTTTCCTAAGGAAATTTTTAATATGTGCAAAGACTTTTGCTATAAGAATATTAATCACGCTATTGCTTCTATTAGTGAAACTAGAAATAGATGTGAACAATAGTAAATTGGTAAAAATAAAACACAGTCTATGGACTTTTAAGAATTATGTTGTTATATACGTTTTTGCCATGAAAAATTATTAGTGAAATATTGCAAGTAAAACTAACAGAATGATAACATTCTATTTAGAGTGTGAAATCAATGTGTGGACAATAAAAATATGTGTACATATTCACACAGGAAAATGGTCTGGAAAGAAACACACGCAGGAATGCACATGGATTATCTCTGCATGTAGATTATTTGTATTTTCTTTTTTTCTTTGTTTAGCTTATCACTGTTTTGGATTTGCTATCATGAATATGTATTGTTTTTTTAATTAGCAGAAAGCCAGAGGATTTTTTTTTATTCTATTCAGAATAGTGAGAAAAATGTAAAGAACTGAAAATAAACTTAGAAATGTAAAGAATTTACATAAACAATCTTGAAAGGGAACCAAAAAAGATTTGAGTAAGTGGAGAGGCACATCATATAACTGGGTAGGAAGTCGCAGTTTTAAAAAATTATTCACTAACAGCACAATCTTTTAGACATTTCCATTGTTTGTTTTTTAATTAAAATACCTAGGATTAGTAAGAATGTAGAAGAAACAGAACTTATAAAACCTATGAGTGAAATTATGTATTTATGCTGCTTTTCAGGGGGACTGTTTTATAATAACAAAAGCATTAACCTTTGAATCAATAATTCCCTTAATGGAGATTTACCTAAAGGAAATAATTGTAATTAGGCAAAAGGATTTAGTTATTAAATAAGTAACTCTATAATAATAAATGAAGAAAATAACCTATACTGGATTCATTAAATCCTTTGATTTACTTAAATTATGTAATGTCCTTTACAGTGTAATACAGTAAAAATTAGCCAGAGTTTTGTAGAAGATATGTAAACATGAGAAAATAGAAGCCAAGGAAGTTATCTCAAATAGACATCACTTATACTAGGAAATTGGTTACATGTGCATTGGAAGATTTTAAGAGTGAAAAAGCCCATGCTGAAGTTACCCAGACTGGTCTTTTCTTATCAGATCTCAGACCTTCCCCCCAGGACTGAGGAAATAAAAGAGGAAAGTCCTGTTAAAAATTGTGAGTGGCAGTACTAACAATGGAGGAATTTATTATTCAACTCAATATCATATCTGGGCAGGAATCCTCGGTATAAGACAGACCAAACTGAATACCCAGGACTCAGGTTGGTACCATCTGGCATTAATAAATAGAAGGAAAAGTGAAGATGTTTTCTAACAAATTCTCAAATTTATTGTTGTTGTCGTTGTTGTTAGGTGCCCTCAAGTCAACGACAAATCACAGCCACTACAAATCAACTATTTTGGGTTTAAAATATCACAAAACAAATGAATATGATTCTGCAACTGGAAAATTTTTCATAGGTAAGTAAGTTAACGCAGATGACACAACCCTGCTTGATGAAACTGAGGAGGACCTGAAGCGCGTGCTGCAGAAAGTCAAGGACTACAGCCTTCAATACAGATTGAAGCTCAACATCAAGAAAACAAAGATTCTTACCATTGGGCTAATTGGAATCATCAGTAAGGATGGTGAAGAAACTGAGATTGATTAGTTTGCTTGGCTCCATAGTCAATACTCTTGGTACCAGCAGCCAGGAAATCAAGAGACAAATTGCATTGGGAAAGTCAGCTTTGAGGGACCTCTCCAGAGTACTGAAGAGCAACGACGTCAGGCTGAAAACTAAGATGCACCCAATTCAGGCTATAGTCTTCGCAATTGCGTGCTCTGCATAGGAGAGCTGGACAGTGACTAGGAATGACAGAAAGATAATTTTTGCCTTTGAGCTGTGGTGCTGAAGAAGAGTATTGAATATACCATGGACTGCTAAGGAGAACAAACAGGTTTGTCCTGGAGAGGGTGAAGCCGGGCTGCTCCTTGGAGACAAGGTTTCTGAAGTTTCATCTGACATACATTGGGCATGTTGCAAGGAGAGACCAGTCCTTGGAGAGGGACATTATGTTTGGGAGAGTGGAGGGACAGTGCAGAAGAGGAAGACCCTCTATGAGATGGATCAATTCAGTGATTATGGTAGTGGGAGTAGGTGTGTCAAAGACAATGAGGTTGGCACAGGATAGAGCAGGGTTTAGGGCTCTTGTACATAGGGTGGCTATGAGTCGCAAGTGACTCGACGGTACATAACAACAACACAACAACAAATAAGTTAAACTGGGAGAAATCTAGGTCTAGCAACTTCATGCATTGGTTAAGAAGGTCAATGTATTTAGAGAAAGTTTCCATGTCTTTCTCCTTGTTATTATGTACCACTGAGTCAGAGCTGATTCATAGCTGACCCTCCAGAAGATTTCCAGAGGCAAGAAATTGTGCAGGAGGAGATTGCCTCTCTTTCTTCTATGAAGCAGCTGGTGGATTCAAAATGCGTGCCTTTGGGTTAACAGCATCACTCAATAACCATAAAGCCACCAAACTCAAACTCAACTGTTGTTTAGTCAGTTTCAACTCATAGTAGCCCTCCACCTGGTTTCTGACTCTGCAAATTTTAATGGGAAAGGACTGCCCATCTTTCTTCCACAAAGAGGCTGGTGGATTCTAAATATCAGAGAAGTGCATTAATAGTGAAATTTCCAATATACTAGGCCACAAGAACTCTTCTGTTTACCTAAATGCCACCCTATGTTCTTTAAAGCACAAATTTTTCACACAGTTCTAGGGGCTAGAATTTCAGATGAATCTTCCTCTAATCCTGATGCAACATTCTTTTTAACACAGTCTATATTCTCAAAATTTTTTGTAAGTATATACAATTTGTCCTAGAGAGGGTGCCAGTCTGCTCCTTGGAGGATTCTGAGGTTTCATCTGACATACTTTGGGCATGTTGTAAGGAGGGACCAGTCCTTGGAAAGGGATGTCATGCTTGGGAGGGTGGAGGGACAGTGCAAGAAATGGAAACCATCAATGAGATGGATTGATACAGTGACTGTGGTAATGAGGGTAGGTGTGTCAGAGACAGTAAAGTTGACACAGAATGAAGCAAGCTTCAGAGCTATTGTACATAGGGTCACCATGAGTCAAAAGTGACTCGGCACACTTAACAATAACCATAAGAACAGGTAGATTTGGATAGATATGGTGAAAGGGCATAATGCAGATACACACGTTTCCTGATTTTAAACCTAATAGTCTCCTCTTCTTTTGTTTAAAGACCACTTCTTGAGCATCTTCCTTCAGTAGCCTTAATTCTTAATCATATACTGTCTCCTAGAATGGTTCAGTACCACTCAATTCTATTGAAAGAGACTGAAGAAGTTCAGTATCAGCAGCCAGAACAAGGACAGGGATCAACTGTGAACCAGCTGCTCATATGCAAGTTCAAGCTGAAGGTGGAAAAAAAGCAAATTAAGCCCATGAGAGACAAAACATGATGTTGAGCATACTCCACTTGAATTTAAAGGTCATCTCAAGAATTTGATTCGATGCATTGAACTCTAATGGCTGAAAGCTAGATATGTTGTGTGATGACTTTAAGGACATATGTGATGAAAGCAAAGCAAAAGGTCATTAAAAAGATGAAAATGGATATTAGAAAGAATTACCAAAATGAATGTCAGAAGAGACTCTGAAACTTGCTCTCGAATGCAGAGACCCCCTTTTTCCAAGCGGCCAGAAAGATGGCAGACATTCAGACCGAGCGCGCCTACCAGAAGCAGCCGACCATCTTCCAGAACAAAAAAGAGAGTGGTGTTGGGTGAAACCGGCAAGGAAAAGCTCCCGCGTTATTACAAGAACATCGGTCTGGCCTTCAAGACACCCAAGGAGGCCATCGAGGGCACCTGCATTGACAAGAAATGTCTCCATCCGAGGGCGAATCCTGTCTGGTGTGGTGACAAAGAGTTCATGCTTGGGAGGGTGGAGGGACCTTCGTCATCAGCCGAGATTACCTCCACTACGTCCGCAAGTACAATAGCTTCGAGAAACGTCACAAGAACATGTCCATGCATCTGTCTCCCTGATTCTGAGATGTCCAGATCGGCGACATCGTCACCAAGGGCGTGTGCTGGCCTTTGAGCAAGACCGTGCGCTTCAACGTGCTCAAGGTCACCAAGGCCGCAGGCACCAAGAAGCAGTTCCAGGAGTTCTGAGCCTGACACCACTCTGAATGAAATAAAGCTAATTTTTTCCCCCATTAAAAAAAAAAATATGTAGAGACGCTAAAGTAAAAGGAAGAAATCATGCAGTAAGACAGCTGAACAGAAGATTTCAGAGGGTAGTTCAAGAAGACAAAGTAAATACTGTCTTGGAATATGTGATCTTGGACTTAGAAACCCCAAAGGGGAAGAACATGCTCTGTATTGCTCAAACTGAGAGAACTGAAAACTAAAATCAAACTTCAAGGTACAATATTAAAAGGTACCATGGGCAAAATAGGAAATACCGTGTTTTTTTTAATATATATAGACCTATGTCTTTCTTTTAATTGCCTGCCCCCTTCTCACTGCTCCTTGGAGGCAAGGATTTTTGAAGCTCTGTCTGACATACTTTGGTCATGTTTTCAGGAAGGACCAATCCTTGGAGAAGGGTATCATGCTTGGAAGGATAGAGGGACAGTGCAAGAGAGGAAGACCCTGGATGAGATGAATTGACTCAGTGACTAGGATAACGGAGGTAGGTTTGTCAGAGATGATGAAATTGGCTTCACGAAAAAGAAAGATTCAGAGCTGTTGTACATAGGGTCACTAAGAGTCCCAGGCGACTCAACAGCATATACCACCACCACTAGCAGCGATAAGAGATGTTTCTAACTATGTTGTGTAAACCAAGCATTAATTCCTAGAATTCTCAATCTACCAGAAATATGTACTTTTGAAGGAAATACTTGGTTTTCTAGATTACTCCTAGTTTTGGCCCCTACTCATCTATCAATTTGCCATATTGTAGTGACTTGCATATCACAGTGCACATGCAAGCCATGCTAATAGTATTTGAAATCTCATCTGAAGGCAGAGAATGACATGAAAATGTTTACCTGTCTTTTCTTCATTATATAAAGACATTTGACTGTACATATACTTGATTAGAATAGAAATTCAGAACACTTAATTGTGTTTATGCAGAACATGTTCCCAGGCCAAAAGACGATCATTAAAAAAAATCTACCTGGTTTAAAAAGAAAGAAAATATGCAGAGGTTATATCCTTTTACCATTTTTATCCATCTGTATGTTAAGTAAATGTTCTGATGAGCTGGACTATACAAAGATGAACATAAAATCTGTATTAGAGGAAGTGTTCTTAACAACCACGTGCTATGGACTCATATGAGCAGAAGGAAAATGCTTTATAAAAGCAGTGAAGTTTTACCTCAGTGGTACTTTGAGGGAATTGTTGTTGTTGATTTCCTTCAAATCGAACATGACTCATAGAGACCCTATGAACAAAAGGCCTGAAGCTCCTCTACAACTATTCACATTTATCAAAGTTGATAGAATTTCTGGAGGCATGATGTTTAGGAGGTGGATGCCACTCTTGCTTCCCTCCTAAAATTACTTCATTAGGAAAGACATTTCAAAACTAATGAATAAAATTTATACAAATTTTATGTATTTTATGTTTTAAAAAAGTGATCAACAAAAAACTGAAAAAAGCACAAGTGGTAATTTAAGAGAAAAATTAATTAATTAGACATCTATCTGTAAAAAGTCACACGATAAACAACATAAAAATTTGATGTTTTGAAATACCTAATAAAGTAGAAAAATTAGAGTCAAAATTTGTCCAAGGCAGGAACAAAAAAGCAATATTATCAATTGCAAAACATTATATACCACAGATACCATATATAATTCTGTTACCAACAATATTGCTAACAGTTTGAAACAAATAAAATGGACGCATTAATAGAAAAATCCAAGGTAATAGAGTTAGCAAAAAAAAGTTGAAAATTTATACATTTATTAAGAAAAATAGGCTATGATTAAAAATTCACCACAATAAAAGAACTAGGTCTAGATGATTGTACAGTCTCCAGATTACAAAGGAGTCCCATTCCTAATTTTTTTAAGTCAAATTTGTGTGTAAATCAAACCAGTTAGGTATAGTCAGTGCTTAACATTGCTATTAAATGTTGTCTTAATATATAATATAGAGTGTGCCTTTCAAGGTATTAAAATAATTTAACATTTTTAGATCTATTAAAATATCTTTAACATAGCAATATATTAATAATAATGTTTTGATGCACTTAACAAGTACTGGCAGTTTGTTATTATGAAACATTGCATGTACCTTCAATTTTTAATATAGGCTTTAAGTGGATTAATTAATAATTATAGGTTTGTAAAGCCAGGTGTTTGTAACACAAAAATCTTATATAGATGAATTCTACAGAACTCTCAAGAAACACATTATGTCAATTTTATACAAATGTGTAATTACAGTGTAAGACAACTCAACATTCTAAAACCAGCCTATGAGGAAAGCACAACTGTCATTCAAAAATTAGATGAATGTTTTCTGAGGATGGGTTGTTGTTGTTATGTGCCATCGAGTAGCCTACAACTCATTGCAACCCTTTGCATATTAGCTTGGAACCCTGCCCTGGCTAAGCTAATAACACTGCCTCCAACACACTTAACCTTAGTTACTACTGGATCAGTTAATCTCAACTTGGGTATTCCTCTACCTTGGGCATTGTCCTTCTACCCTTCCAAGCATGATGTCCTTCTCCAAGGACTGGTTCCTCCTGGCAACATGCCCAAAGTAGGTGAGATAGAGCTTCAAAATCCTTGCTTCCAGGGAGTAACTTGTTTTTACCTTCTCCAGGACAGATCTGATGTCTTTGTTTTTTTGGTACAGTGATTCTGTGTACTCCTACCATCTTCTTTTGATATTTCTGAATCATTCAATATTCTTACTATTGCATCCTTAAGCATTGCCACTCAAAGCTTGAGTTCGTTCTTCAGTTCCTTTAGCTTAATAAATACTGAGTGAATTCATACCTTTTGATTTTCCAATTCCTGCTCCTTGCACATTCCTAATACTTTGCTTTACCATCCCAAGCTGCCCTTTGAAATCTTCTGTTCAGTTCCCTAATGTCCTGATTTCTTCCCTTTGTTTTGGCTTCTTGACACTCTAGTGCAATATTCAGTGTCCCTTCTGACATTCATCTCGGTTTTTGTTTCCTCCTCTTTGTAAAGACCTTATGCATTCTTCATAGATGATATTCTTGATATCCTTCCACAGCTCATCTGGTCTTAGTTCATTAGTGTTCAAGGCCTCAAACATGTTCCTGATATGGTTTTTAAATTCAGGTGGGATAGACTGAAGGTCAAATTTTGGTTCATTTAGATTTGTTTTGCATATAGATTTTAAAAAGT